CGTGGCTTCCAGAGGGTGGGGCTGCCCCAGGGCGCGGTGGCCAGATGCAGGAAGGTGTCCTCGTGCAGGCATGCCACGGGCTGCCTGTCTTCACTCTTGGGAGGCTGGAAGTCTGACTTCGGGGGTCGGCAGCGTTGGCTTCTTCTGGAGTTGCTCAGGGAGCACCCATCCGGTGCCTCTGCCCTGGCTCCTGCTGGCTAGTGGTGTTGCCTGGCTCGGGTCTCTGCCCCGTCATCACACGGCTCTCTCTGTGTCTTAGTGGAAGTCCGGCCCACACAGCACTGGGGACATACACTAAAGAGGATTTGGGGTCTGTGTGAAGTTCAGATGTCACCGGGCAGTGGAGACCAGGCTGGGGTGGGAGAGGGATGCACCCACCCCTCACCCCCTGCCTCTCAGGGGCACCTTCCCCCTGTTGGGTGGTGCAGGCAATTAACACCCTCAGCTGCTAAATGAAAAGTTGGACATGCGAGTCTGCACAGAGGCATCTTGGACGAAAGGCCTGGTGACCTGAAAACTCAGCCACTGAACACCCCCAGGGCGCAGTCCTACTCAGGTGGGCACTGCAGGTGGGAGTCGGCTTGACAGCAATAGGTCTGGTTTCCTGGTTTCCCCAGCTTCAGGGGTGCATGGGCTCCCCATGAGCCCTCACATACCCCTTTCAGAGACTGTCTCCCTTCCTGGACTACATCACACCACTTGCACAGGAAGGGCCTGCACTGGCCTCCTGGGCGCTCCACCTGGCTCACACGAGAACAGCGAACCCCAGTCCCTTCTCACTGTCTGTCCAGAAGCCTGGTGCACAGACAAACCCGAGGGCCCCTGCCCCTGCCACCCTCCCACTGCTCCTCCACAGAGCTTTCCAGCCCTCCGCCATCAGCCTCCCACCCTGGCCCCGAGGGGACCTGCCATCCATCGCCCTGACTCTGGCTTACTGTCACCCACGGGAGCCCACCTCTCATCTGCAAGGAAGTGGCTGTTCTGGGCTTTCCCCCTTTAGAGATGTGACGCATTGCAGACTGTGGCCCCAGAGGTACCCTGTCCAGAGCAGGCCCCACCCTGCGCCGCTCAGCAAGGTTTGTCCCAAAGACAGAAAACACAGGCAGGTGTCCACGTGTATGTCAGTGGTCTCATCCCTGTGCGGCTCTCTGGATGGCTGAGCAAAGCCAGCCAGGCAGACCCCTCCCTCGGCCCCTTTGGGAGGCCACATAGCAAAGCCAGCGGGGAAACGCGCAGTGACCAGGGCCCCGGCCGGCTTCTCCACGTCGGAGGTGCCCCTCCCACCCCTGCAGCCTCCGGAAGCTTCTCTGGCTGTTGTTCTCCTGGAGACAAAAGGCCCAGAATGGCTCCTGAAGCCACATCCCTGGGCCCGGCTCTCCGCAGGGCTG